ATTTTTTCTTTGTTTCTTTAATGTTTTAAAGAAACAAAGAAAAAATAGTATTCCACACACCACCCCAACCCCCCACACCCTACTCTCAATTTTTTAATATATTGATTTATTAAGTCAAAATTGTAGCAAGCAAGGTTGTGACAAGTGAAACTTTTTTTTTTTTTTTTTTTATTCTAGGTGCCCCAAGATGTCCTTACGGTCTTATAAAAAAACAGCGCGGAAGAGCATTTTAAAAGAAGTTCTCTTTCTTTACCGATGTTGTAAAACCAATGCTTTCCTTACCTTACTGGCCTCTTTCCTTGCCGATGTTGTAAAACTTACCCAGAGGCGGCGTTGAACAACGGAACTCTAGCTTCAAAGGCAAGCGCTCTAACCGCTGCGCTACGCCTTAAATAATCTTATTTAAACATAAATAAGATTATTTAAGTGGAATTTATGACCTCAAAATCGTTAGTTAGTTATTTTTATTGCTAACTTTATTTTTAAATAGTTCAAATTTATTAAAAAAAAATTTCCTTACCTTTTGCCTTTCATTATTCAATAACGCCTTTAAATCAAGAAAAAGCTGTAAAATACTGCAAATATTAATATCAAATCTTTTATATATAATTTTACAGTTTTTATAAATTTGTAGGCCAATTTAATAGATATTCACAAATACGGCAATGAACATCAATATGCATAGCAAATAACATAATAAAACAGTTTTAGAAAATTTTGAAAACAAATCGTCATAGTTGCTACTTATAGTTATAATAAAAAAAAACTAAAAAAAAATACCCAAAAAAGCGTTTTTCAAATGGGGGTTTCTAAAATTTGTGTGTCTCATTTAGAACAACTGTCTAAATAAGACATAAAATTTTAACCATTAACTATAAAATAACTTTTTTTTTTTTGAAAATTTCCAAAATTTCTAAATTTTCCGGAAAATTTCTTGAGTTAAAAATATCGGGAAGTTTTCAACCCTAACCGAAACTAACTCTTTCCAAAAAAATAAAAAAAAGATGGAGTAGGCTCGAAATTACAGTCATTAGTCATGTGATGATTTGGAAAAAGTATTTTTTTTTTTAAATCATTTTTGTTTGCATTCTTATTCATATATTATTAATTAATATTTCCTTGTCATTTAAAATCAACCTTTCAAGTAATGATTTGTCATTTAAAGTCAACCTTTTAAGTAATGATGAACTCTTGGCAGAAAAGTTTTATCATAACATTTTTGGAAAAGTCAAAATTCTATCCTCAGTAACAATTTTGGGAGTCGTTTATGAGCAAGGAGCAGAGCGTCTTAAATCTTCTTAATGTTAATTCTTAAGCGTCTTAATGTTTTGCCATGAACAAACCTAATATCAAACCTGTCAGAAAAATTTGGATGCTCGTAAAGCGATAGATCGGAAATGAAACTATAACTAATAGGCGAGATCTTCTGGAAAAAATTAAAGATTTGTCGATTTGGTAAAAACGATAAAATCAATTGTGAGCATGACAAGATGCATCCATGCAGTTATTAAGAAAAGAAGCGGTTTTACAAAACATTTATGTCTTAAATGTAAATATGTAACAATTTATAATAGACTAGCTAGAGAAAGAACACAGCCGAAAATGGTTTTAAATTGTCTTACAGTCATTAAAGTATAACTATTTCAGAAGCAAGTTAAAATGGGTTTAACTTTAAAATTTAAACAAGTTGAAGAAATTGTCGTGACAATTATTGTTCTAGACAATTTCTTCAACTTGTTTAAACCTTATCTTTTGCTTTCCCGCTTACTTATATATTTATTGCGTTTTTAAAGAATGTTTTTTCAGCAAGAAACTAATTAAATTTCTTCGGAACTTTATTTTGTGTTGTATTATTTTTTCCGGATTTAAAAACAGATAGCCATAATTTAAATATAGGAGAAAAAACCTGCTTTTCAATGCAACAAAAAAACTACCGATTCTAAGCATTTATTAATTATTAATTGACTATTATAGTCAAAAAACACCATAAAAAATAATTTGAAACTCTAAATCAGTAAAATATTGCTAACTGATTTTTCCGAATTCTTACCATTTATTTGCAAACTTTAAATTATTATAACTACGCGATATTTCATTGAAAATTATGTTTTCAATGAAAAATGACAATTTTATTATGTGAAAAATGAAATTTTTACTTTCTTCCAAATAGTATATTATAATTCTTTGGTTGCAATAACCAATAAATATTCAAAGTGTTTAAGTTGTGCTTAATTTTTATCTAGTATTATATTGTTAATGAAAGTACAAGCTTTAAATTGCACTATTATCTTTTTTTTCTTGAAAAAAGGCAAATCCTACAAGGCAGGACACGGGACACGCAGTACTGGGTTACATGATATTAGGCAGGTTGATTGTGATAATCCTGAGCCTAACCTAATCTGAATTAGTTAAAAAAAGTTACTTAGTGTAAGCATATTTAAAACATTGAAGAGGATTTTTGAAAATATCTATATGTGTTCTGAATATAAAATTAAGTATTCTGAATATGAAATAGAATACCAAAGACTAAAACTATAGAACACTTTTCATAAAGCCTAAAATTTAAATATAGTAAAGTTGTTAAGTTCCTTCAATTTTTTAATTAAAAAAAATGAAATTTAGATAAATTATAATTTCTAAATAAACATCGAATTCCATATATTGATTTTTGTTGTCTTTTTATATTTAATAGAGACTATTATTAGATTTGAACGGTGATCTCTAACCTTATATAGATCTAACTATTTACTTTTTTTATTTAATGTAAGCGAGATCGAGGAGGCTTTAGACACGAAGAAATAATGAATACTTAGATACCTGTTACCCTGTTGACCAATGATAACAAAATGTTATCTTTGGTTGATATGTTGGTATGTACTTAGCTTTAAAACTGTTAGTTTTAACGCTAAGTACAAAAGTTTTTTTTTTTTTTTTTTTTTTTTTTTTTTGCCGTTTCATATATTTACAATATAGACATATTACATTTATAAAAATTGGCCGGAGCAAGAAGAAGACAATGACTGTCTTATCGCCGAGCCCCGTTTACAAATTGCCCGTGTTTATAAACAAATATAAATAAAATATACAAAAAAACGTTAAAGAGTACATAACTTTTGTCAAATAATAAAATGACATTTATATTAAAATTAGCTTTAAAAGTGACAGTTTCTCGCAAAAAAACAGGTTTTAGAATGAAAATACTTTTTTGATTCTTTGGTGTAAAGTTTTGAATCTAAGTGAATCATCCAGATCCCAGTTATGAACTTTTTGTTTTTAAATAAATTGCCAAATTTTGTGCAATCTTTTTAAAAACAAATGATAAATTGCTGACATTTGAGAATGTGTACATTTATAATCTATAAGTGAGTTTGCAACGATTCCTTTAGTTATTTTCAATAATTGGGTAGACTTCGGACACCGTTTGAAGTTTCCTCCAATGCTATTGTCATGATTGAATAAAAATTCTCTATGGACAGTTATAAAAGTTTTGTAAACTTTAAACTTTGTGCAATCATTAACAAAGTTGATCTATAATAATCACATATACCCCCGGAAAAAAAGGCAGTTGCTGCTTCAAAAAAAAAGGAAGTATGTTAAAAAAACTTAAAAAAAAGACAATTGAGATGAAGATTCTACAGTGAAAAACTCTTAAAAAACAGTTCTTTAAAAAACAGATCCATTAACAATAATAACCGTTTTGATTCATATTTAAATTACTCTAATATAGTCACGTTTTTTTTGACAATATCTGTAAATTTTTTCTACTGGTAAGGTCCGCTGTATTTAATCAGTTTAATCATTTAAAATAGAAATAAAAAATTTAAAAAAAATAAAGTAATTAAGAATGAATAATAGATTTAAAAATTTAGTGCACTGTTAAATAGGAAGTTAGTTTTAAATTATATTTTGGAACAAAAGGTTTTTTAACTAAATTTTTTTAATTTTTTGTTTCTATATATTTAATTATTGATATATATTTATTTATTAATATGTACATATGGTGGATGTGAAAAAAAATCAGGTCGTAACCATTGAGCAAAAGTTGTTAAAAAAAATCGAGGAAGAGGTTTTACAAAAAATATGCTATATACTATAAGCTATTTATAGCATATAACATATTTTTTGTATAGCATATAGCATATTTATAGTATATAGCATATATATATATGCTGTAAATATGCTATATGCTATAAATATGCTATATGCTATAAATATGCTATATGCTATAAAAATATGCCGAGGAAGAGGTTTTACAAAAAATAAGCGAATAATACTTGCATTGACAGTTTCTCAAGAGGACAAGAAGTCCCTTTTCATAAACATGATCTATTTTAAATGTAATTTGGATGAGTACCAATTGCAACAATTTAAAAATAGAAAATAAACTATGATGATTGAAATACATATTTATTTGTTTAATATCCGTTAAGCAAGGATTAATGTAGTAGGATTTGCAGTGAACCTATATTTCATTTTAAGCGGTTCGTTTTGCTCATCCATTACTCAGTGGACCATTAATGGCACACGCTATAAATGGTCAGCCGATAAATAATTAAAAATTTTCATGATGTTTAGAAATATACAAGTTTTTTTTTTCATGACATGATGTTAAAAAAACGCGCCAAAGCATAATTGTGTCAAATGTTAGACAATGTTTAATTTTTATTTTTAAACAGAAAATCCATAATGGCGGAAAGTTTGTTAATTTTGACCCTTACAAATGATGTTTTTAAAACATGGTATCTTGATAAAGCAAAAGCAAAATTGAAAATCCTTTTGTCCATATGTATATTATTATATTATACTCCGGATGACCCTTAGGATTTGTATAAATCCTTTTACTCTAAAAGTTATTTAAGTTTTTGTGAAAATACTACTTTTTTTCAACAAATATTCATACAAATTTTCACCTAAACTGAATTTTCTTAAGATAATAAGTGTTTTATGTAAAATCCATGGGTCATCCGGAGTATTAGATCATATTAAACACAAATTGAAAATTTCAAGTCAAATGCTCAACTCTATCTCGAGTTATCATGTTTTGAGTTATAGCAAGTATGCAAAAAATTGAAAACAGAGAAAAATGCAAAACAAAAATAAAATGTTAAAAAAATAAGTATAAATAAATAATCTCCTCAGTAAGCACCAGTTTGATAGGAATAGACAGTATCTTTTTCATTCATTTTATCAAAAAATCCTTTTTTTCTAGCTCGCAATCTTTTTCTATGCTTTTTCTCTGCAGTCGTTAACTTCTTTTCCATTTGCTTAATGCGTGAATTATCTAAATTTGTTGCAGTTGCCTTTGAAATTTGCCCTTTCAAACCAAGTGTTCTAAAACCTTCAATATTCCTTTGCGTCCATCATTAAAATGAATAATAGCTGAATTTACACCCATTTCTATGGTTTCTCTGCCAACAAATACAGTTTTTGGTAACCTTGACCATATGAGTCCATTTAGGGCCTCATTTGCATTCTGGGTTTTTCCATGCACACATTTTTTTAACAAATCTTCATCCATTAAATTCTTAAAAATCGGTAGAAGAAGACTCTTTATCCAAAAAGGGATTGTATTGGAGGGTTTATAATCCTTTTGGCCCTTGGACCAGTACTTGCACCAACTGTTGGTATCTCGAGGGCAAAATTTATGAAGCTCAAGCGGATCATTTGTGTTTGTGAAATGAAACAGTATTGCATATATGGCTTTTTTCATAGCATAAACATTGGAAAGGTTTGATCTAATTGCCATACCATAATAATTTTGCATGGAATCAATACATTTATCCGTCAGTTGACCTTTTACAGAGACAGGAGTTTTTGTACCCTTGTAAGATTTAACAAGGTTGCATAATCGGGTTCCAAATCGTTTCTGCACATGTCCAACGCATTCAAGCTTAATCGGTGTTAAACTATGTTTTACATAGGGTTCAGATCTAACAACATCATTAAAAGAGGAAGTATCACCATCACCAAGATATTCTTTGTAAATTATGTTGTGCTTAATAATTGACCGGTTAAATATATCAACAGCACCAGATGACTCCATCGCACCAGAGGATTTTTCATGATTTATTTGACAGTGGTGATCAATTTTCCATAAATCATATTCAAGTGAACCTTTTTTATTCTCCCACATTTTGCATCCAAAGCAGTGCTTTAACTTTACTACCATATCCAAACACTTATCACCTGATATCGCAGTTACTACCCCATGCAAAGAGGCATGTCCTCTTTTTTGCCAGGAACCGTCAATGGAAACTTGTACATTTTATGTTATCAGCTAAATCTATTTTTTGAGCTTCTTCAGCAGCACGTTCCATACTACTCTCTGCAACATTTTTGTAGGCTGTCATTAAATTCTTGTTCAACAGTTTAAAAGAGAATGATGCCATGGACTTCAAGTTCATGATAGAGGAAAATTTCTGCATAGATGAAAATCCACAACCTATTTCCCGAAAACCAATTACAGCTCGGGCATTTACACCAAATGTTTTGCGACCTCTAAAATCACTTTTTAGATTATAGGAAGTCTTAGGAGATGTATAAAAAGGTTTCATCCAATCACATATTGAACATTTTATAAGAATACAATGTGCAAAACCCATTCGTTTTAAATGTTGATCAATAACAACAACGTCAGCAGCACAATCAGGACATGGTATAAGTTCACGACAAATATTTGCTAACACATTAAAATGAAGAAATAAGAAAAAGTATTCAATATTATCAACCAAACCCTCTGAGTTAGACTGATCAACAGCATAAGGAATCTTTTTTGCTGAGGATGATTGAAGGGATTCACCAATAACACAAGGTATCACAGTAAACTTTGGTCGTTTTGAAACAATACCATTCCATTTTCTTTTTTTGCTTCGAGAAAATTTTTTTTTACTTTTTGATGTGTTCTTTATATTCTTATTTTTACTACTATCTTCATGAAATTCCATTGTATTAATTATTAAAACAATCTAAATTCAAAGACATACGGCTCTCTAAATAACAAGTTTTTGTAAATAATATAAAGTATAAAATGTTCAATCAGCTTATTTATCTGTCTGAGTAACGTTTGTGACTTCAAAGTATGATATTTAGACCGCTAAAGATTGCAGATACATACATAAAATAAGGCACATATTATGATAGGAAAATCTTCTGTTTGCGGTAACTAGGTACGTTGCTATGGACTCTGATGTTACCTCACAGAGTTTTAATGTGTAAATATGGACCAAGAAATATTTTTTATTGTTCCCGATGTTAGTTGCATGAAAATAGACATATCAAAGGGTGAAAATCCACCATAAAAAAAAACTTCCACCATAAAAAAAAATCCACCATAAAATTTTTTTTTTTTTTCGATCATTATTTGCATCCTTACCACCTTAATAAGTGATATTGTTTTTTTTGCTCGAATTTTGACTTGAAGAATCGCAATGTCAGACTTTGAATGCGACGACCAGGCTTGCTCAGCGAACTCGAGACAGGGGAGAATGTAAATAAGATACAATGTGCGCCATAAACGATATTGTATTTTATTCCGTCATCCGGCTAATTGCCATACTGACGTCCTCATAATAAATACAAGGTTTAAAATAAATCAAAAAACGAAAAAAAACGTTTACAAAGATGTCCTTTATGGACTAAAACAAAAAACTTCAAAATATATAAAAAAACGAAAGTAAGAAGTAAAAGAAAAAACAAAAATTAAAATTCTATCGGAACTATTTAAGATAGTTCCGTGTTTTTTTTTTATTAATTTTAAAATTTATTTTGTCATTAATTATTTTCACTTTCATCTCTTTTTCTTTCGTTTATAAGGAATAAAAAAAGTTTTTCTTTTTTATAAAAAAAAATAAAATAAATAAGATCTGTTTTACAAAAAATTCGTTATGACATTTATAGTAAATAAAAGTATATAGCTCTGGGAGAAAAAAACATATTAAAAAAAAGAAACTAAATATTAAAAAAAGAAAAAATTATTTAAAATAGTTATGTATATCAGCGACTAGGTTTAAAGCTCCTTTTTTAAAAATGTTTCTTAATTCGTCTTTATATTTGTTTTGTTCATTTTGATTAATTATTAATAATTCTCGTTTACAAGCAAGCGTTTAACTTTATATTCAAACTTTTTAAGTAAGAACTTTACACTAAAACATTTTTTTCTTAAAAAAACTTTTCATTCTATTTAAATATATTTCTAACACAAGAGTTTCCAATAAAATATAGCTAAACTCTTTGTTGCCCGCGTTGATCCCGTATTTAAACAAAATAAACTTCAAAATATTACGAAAGACATTTATCCGTTCACGAAAAAAAATTTTCTTAATAACTGCGAGATGGCGCGTAAACGTTAATTATTAAATAGTTTGCATTATTAATGTTTAAAGCCACATAATTATAACTTCCATTTTGGTCGTGACCAGAAAAAATTACTTTTTCAAATCGTTTTTTGCATAATATAGCAGTTCCGCCTGTTTTATTTGTTCCTAATGAGAAATAAATATCTCCTTTCCATTCGCTTTTAAAAATATTCAAAATATCATTAGTTATATGAGTTTCCTGTAAAAGAAAAAAAATCAAATGGTTTATTTTTATATGAGTTGATAATTGTCCTCCGCTTTTCCGCATTTCGCAGACCATTAACATAAAAATAAAAATTCCATTTTTAAACTTTTACTAAAATTTAATTAAAAATAAAAAAATTGCCTTTTTTTTTTTATTAAACTCTCATTGATCAGGAAAAAGCTTTCGATGAGAATAAAGTATAATAAAATCGTGTAATAAAAAAATAAAAAATAAAAAATAATAATAAAAAAGATGTATACCATCTTCACTTAATCGATTATTTCTGCCATTTCGGTTTTGGAATACCGTTTCGTCCTTCACGTATTTTTTCTCGTCGCTCAATATTTCTCCATCTTCCATCTCGTCTTTCTTAATTAAAACGTCTTTTTCCTTTTCCTTTTTCAAACTCTTTTTTGATTTATATACCTTAAAAGGTTCCTCGACTATAATCAGATTTTCTGTTGGATGCCCATATTTTATTTTTTCTTTTTCCAGGCGCATTGCTTCGTCGAAAGCGTTTTCGTTCTCGTCTTATATTTATCGTCGTATATTATATATCTCGTCTTATATTTATCGTCGTATATTTTTTATAGGCACTTCAGTCACGTGACTTTTTCCGTGCGACAAGTTTATAACATAAACATTAGCGAATTTTTCGGCAAGTTTTTCGGGAATTTTTTCATGGTACCTAATTTCAAACCCAATTGCCAGTTATATTTCTGTGGCAAAATTTTGAAAAAAATGTTGATCTATGGAGATTATTCTTCAAAGTTTCTTAAAAAAGATGCTAGAAAATTTTTCAAGTCGTTTTCTTGATAATTTATTCAATTTACACTTTTTGACAAGTAAATAGACTGTTTTAAATTGCTTTTTTTGGGTTCTAGCACATCAAAAAAAATTATTTAGTCTGTTAAATTACATTATTTGATACCTGTTTTTAAACTAATTTGTTTTTTATATCTGGACTTAACAATTTTAAAAAAACACTTAAATTATTTTTTTGATTTTTATTTTGACGCCATTATGATATTGCGTTCAACCAATATAGCTAGTGCATCTATAAAGAGCGTTAATTTACGTAACTTTTATTTTTAACACTTTTTTATATCTAGCTGTTTTAAATGCAGAATAAAGATTTGTATTTATGGTATCAAGGTTTAGAAAAAAAAAAGACTTATCCTATGTGTGCACAGTTTTTAGACAACGATTTTCTTCCAAGTTTCAAATTAGCTGTGAGTGATGATTATAAAGACACTTTTGCATTTAAAACTTTCGAATCTGGGGTTGCAAGACTGATACGTACTGCATGTAAAGCATTCCATAAACGAGGTAGTGATGAAGCTGGTGTGGCAGGATATTTTAATTCTTTTATAATTGGAAGAGTGAAGACAAATGTATGTTTGCTCCTTTTATTGGCAATAGGTTCAACATTTTGTTTTATAATGGGGCTGCACTGTATTATCATTCTGAATCTATTAAAGAATTTTTGTCTGAATGGCCAAATCCGAATAATTTATTTACAGGCAGTTAATGAAGATATATCAAATTTATTGTTTTTAGCAGAATCTCGTGCTTAATCAAACACCTGTATTTGATCCAAGATAATCAAACACCTGATATTCAAGAGATGTTAAAATACATAAAGATAAACTTTATAAAAAACTTTTTGAGGAGACTGAAAATATAGAATTTAATGTCTTGGTGCAGTAGTCATTAGAAATAATTTCCCATGCGTTTTTAATAATTCTAGAAAGACAAGCAATTGATAAGCTTTTAGGAGGTAAATATTGGAACTCAGATAAAAGAATTTAACAGGCTGCTGAAAATGTACCAACAACTAACAAAGCTTCAGAAAGTGATTTTGAAGTTAAAGTAAAAAGCGTCAAGTAGAGATAATATCAAAGAAATCTTCTATTCTGATAGTAAAACAGCAACTCAAAGCAGATACAGAAAAGAAGGCATTCCTGAAAAAAGCAAATATTGTAAATGAGCTTATTCAATTGAAATCACAAGTTTGGCTAACAGCGGATGAAGCAAAAGATAAATCTTCAAAAATTTTAAATGATACTTTAAGGAAGCAAGTCATTAGAGTTCAATTAGATTTTTATCGTTATGTAATGATGGCAAAATGTTTGTTCAGGAGAGTTAATGGAGAACCTGTTGACTGTCATTTGTACCTGCAATTTGCCTCCGCCAGAAAAAACAACCAATACATTAAAAGGAAAAAACCAACGCAATGATTTGATTATTTTTTTGATATTTATAAACGTAAATAAAATTGTTCACTCTGACAGTTTGAAAAATCTCTTTTTCTTCAACTAAAGCTAATTTTTACGGTTTTAACAAAAGGTTTTTGTACTCTTGGCCCAATTTACCCCAAAACAAGCTCTGTGTATTTTTACATATTTTCCTAGAATTTATAAATAAAAATAAATTTTTTCATTCTGACTTTTTTTTTTTAATTTATAATTTTAAGTTAATTCCGATCTTTGCTGCTATTTTTTCGCTAAGTTCCTTGGCTTTCTCAGAAATATATTTAAAATTACTAACTTTGGAATAATCCACACGGGTTCGGAATTCGACGACTCGCTCTCGTAACTCCTCTACTTTACCTGTGACACTTGCATAAGACATAATTAAAATAACTAATCGCCAACAAAAGTACGGAGCCAAACACAAATAGAATTGTTTGTTTATTGTGTTTTTTTCGTATATATGTGTATAAACATTGACGTATGTATTTAAAATAAATAAAGAAAAAAAATAAAGAAAGAAAAAATAAAAAGTTTGCATTATTAATGTTTAAAGCCACATAATTATAACTTTCATTTTGGTCGTGACCAGAAAAAATTACTTGTGCGCCATAAATAAAAACTGCAACTGCGATATATTTTTTTGAGTCATCCTAGCATTCTATTCGCTATTGATGCGGCTGACTCTAATTGTGGTCTGACATTAAAGTCATTGGAGACTATCACACCAAGGTCTCGTTTGACTACAGTCTATTCGAGTGGATAACGCGTGCCGCCAATGTTGGCCAATCAGTACTTTCGCGTCAACTTGTTACATGTACAAACAACATGGATTGCTCTGTATTTCTCAATATTGTAATGTATGAGCCAAATATGTGCATATATATATATATATATATATATATATATATATATATATATATATATATATATATATATATATATATATATATATATATATATATATATATATATATATATATATATATATATATATATATGTATATATATATATATGTATATATATATATATATATATATATATATATATATATATATATATATATATATATATATATGCACACATTATATTTACTTTCTAGCAGGACTGCAACAATCAGATTGCTCTGATGATACTCAAAATCGAAAATACCAGTCTCATACAAATTCAGATTCATCAAATGGACATAGCGTTTACAACAAAGTTCCAAACAATACTGTAAGTTATTTTGATTAATAGTTTTAAACTCACAATTTAGTATGCAAACCAAATAAATTTATATAGATTAATTACCAAATAAAATAGTCTAATTGCAGCAAAAATTGATTTTACAAGTTTACACCTATTCTTTTTAAATCTGCATTTTTCTAACTTCTAACTAAGACACAAAAGGTCCGGTTTGTCCGGTTAGTGCTAAAACCATAAGTTAATCATAAGTTTTTTAAAAGGGTTTAAATTAATAGTTGGTTTTCCAACTGATCACAAATTTTTTAGCAGCGAGTTTTGCTCAAATAGTAAATTATTAGTTATTCTTTTGGCCTTTTTAATATAATTTCATTTTTTATTTTAAGTTTATTTTTTGTTGCTTTATATTACAAATTCGTACTCTACACTCTAACACCCTAAAAAGAACGCGGAAAACTTTCAGAAGACCAAGCGGTGTTATCAACAAAATCCGCTTTACATTGCCATAAATATATAAATGTCAGATATCAAGTATGCAAACATCGTTTTTTTTTTTGTTTTTTTTCATATTTACAGATTTATTATTAATGCAATGTTGAAAATATATTTATATAGATGACTTGTTTACATTCTCGTTTTCAAAAAAAACATGCGCGCCCAATAATCGGAAATTTTTCAGCAAAAAACATTAAGATGTCTGTATGTTTTGTTAGGAAATTTATTATCATATTGATTTTTTAACAAAAACTAAATTATTTCAACTAGTTGTTGTGTTAATAGTTACTCAAAAAGATGTAAAAACTAACGTGGAATTAAAATGGTAATGTAGCTCTTTAAAAAAGTTAAAACATACTTCACTCACGATTGATGTTGGAGGCACAATATAATAAAAAAATATTAACTGAATGTACTGATGTAAAAAAAAATTATGCGGAAGTGGTGTATTGGGGAAGTTTGCTTCATAAGCGAGAGGTTCCGAGTTCGATCCCCACCACGTCCCTGGCTAAACTTGTTTCTCGGCGCAGCGGCCTTATTCGTCAAGGTTTGTGTTTTGGAGTTGTAGAGTTATATACTTAAATGTGGTTATAGGGTTATAACCACATTTAAGTAGCCTCTTCGTCTGTTGTGGTCTTCTCAGACTTAGGGAGATGAATTAGCATTAAAAAAAAAAAAAACTTCTTGATAGCAAATTTGGTTTAGTTATTAACATATCAGTACCATTTAATGTCTAATTGGTATATAATAAAAACCAGCTGGGGCAACTTGTCTTTTTATTTCCTGATTGGGTGATTGTGTATCAGACAGATTACTATATAAGAATAAACTTTTATCAAAAACTTAAACCTGGTGGCTATATTCTTGCTGACAGAGCGTTGATTCTTATCATTTACTGCTGATATTCGATAACTATTGTTGTTTTTTACGTAAAATAATTTGAACTTTAGATTTTATATTTATCATTTTGCTAAATGAAGCCTTCATAATAGTAGGGGAGAGTTGGCTTAATTGGAACAATTTAGGCATAAATATTTATTAACCAAAGATGGCTTAACTATGAAAACATTTATGATTCGATTAATATAAACAGACATCCCTACTATACTTTTAACCACAGTTTGACTTAATTAATTGCACTGTTATTGGAAATAAATTTGTTTTTGCAAAGTTACCATTTTGTTCTAATCAAGGCAACTGGTTCCCTAAATTGGAACACTTTAATTCCTTATCAAAACAAGTTATTTTTTTTTAAAAAAACAACAACAAAATTAACAAACATTTGTAAAAAATAATTTTCATCTTTATAGTGAAAATTTAAACAGTTAATTCAAACCTTATTATAGGATTAATATTACCCTAATAAATTTAAAGTCTGCAAACAAAAAGTTGTCTACAGCTTCAACTGTTATGACGTTCTCTTAATTTATTGATTAAAAATCACTAAATAAAGTATTATTTTTAAGGTTTATGGTTGTTGCTGAATATTTTTTAAATTGCACTCGAACTATTTTTACAACTTTATTTTTTAACGTTAATATTTTAAACCTTTTTTCTTCCAACAGTCTTTTATCCCTTGCTTTGAAATAGTTTGTGTTCTATAAGTTTTTATGTGCAAGATCTAATTCCTGTTATATAGACATTGATATAAAAGCTATGCTATTTTTTTCCAACAATCTGTGTTTAGCTTTTTTGTTAAAAAAATAAGCTTAAACCCGTGAAAAATGTTGTTGCAGGTAAGCATTTAAACCATAAACGATAAAGCTTCAACTGGGATCAAGTAGAGTAAAGTATTTTAATAAGTTTTGCCTGAAGTCAGTAAAACAATTTTTAACATTTTTAGTTATAAAAAGTCATTTTTGTGCACTCATTGCACATCAGGTTTTAAAATTATGTATATATGTATATGTATATATATATATATATATATATATATATATATATATATATATATATATATATCAGGGGCTATTCTAGACCGTTTTCGTTTATATATATATATACATATATATAAGTTATGTTAGTGTATTCTACAAATAGAGTGTTCAATGTTCTTAAAGAACAGAACATAAGTGTTTTTACTAAAATATATATATATATATGTGTATATATATATATATATATATATATATATATATATATATATATATATATATGTATATATATATATATATATATATATATATATATATATATATATATATATATATATATATATATACATGGTTAAAAATAATAATAGTGCTTAAAGTAGTGTTTTAAAGAAAAATACTTATTAATAGTTTTTAAAATACTTTTTAAAGAAAAATACTTATTTAAGCTAGTAACACAAATACTAATATAAAGATTTTAATATTATTTTAATTTATTAAAAATAATATAATATATGTGTCTATGTATATATCATATACACATATATGTGCATATATATATATATATATATATATATATATATATATATATATATATATATATATATATATATATATATATATATATATATATATATATATATATATATATATATATATGTATATATATATATATATATATATATATATATATATATATATATATATATATATATATATATATATATATATATATATATATATATATATATATATGTATGTATTAATATATATATGTATATATAGTGGGCGGCTAAATTATTAGTTACACTTGCAAAAACTAACATATTAACCGTTATAAGCTGCTTTACGTATTATTATGTTAAACTTTTATATTAATATTGGTGTTACTAGCTTAAATAAGTATTTTTTAAAAAAAAGTAAAACATTATTTTAAACACTGTTACTATTTTTAACCATTTATTAAACTCACAATACATAATACTTTTTTAGTATTTGGTAGCACCGCTTTTTGTATTCAATTACTACTTGTATCCTTCTTGGCATAACTTAAGTGTAATTCTTTACATTTGCTTTTAATTACTGATTATTATACCAGACATTACTTAGTGCCTCTGATACCTGAGACCTGTGATATGAGTATGATAGGAGTTTCGTGCCCAATTTTTCGCTTTAAAATTTCCTAGGCCACGATTAAGCAGTAACATTTTTTGATTCTAAATATATTTTTTCTAATTTAGCTTTATTGCTCGGGGTAGAGTCATACCTAAAGATGCATTCGGATGTAACCGATTATTCAACTGAGGAACTATTTTGGTAGCTTAAACTTTTACTTTTGGTAGCTTAAACTTTTATTTTTATAGAGAGTGTTTTACAGTCTTTATAACAGAGTCTGAGTTATACTTTTCTTTTTTCCTGCGTCTAACAAAAGAAGACTTTTCCATTAATAATTCAAATTTAAACTTATCTCAGAAACACACCTGAAAAAAAAAATTTTAATAATAATATTAAAACACATATAAATGTCTTAATCAGTGATGTCGTTGAAATAAAAAAATATTTACTTATATTTTCCCATCTTCAGCAGACATATTTCGTTGTTTTTTAGCCCAAGTCTTAATACCGGCTTCTTGTATTATTTTAGTAATTGCCTGTTCATCTCTTGGCGTAGTGATACGTGGTCTCCCACATTATCCACGCTTGGTACTTTGTATGGAAATTTTTTTATCAAGTTTACCTTTGATTCTGCTAACTGACATCATAGAAACATTAACTAAGTTTGCAATTATTCTCTGAGAGTGGCTTGAAAGTTTTAATATAGCAGATGTTTCTAAAACCTTTTCGTTAGATATATCTTTACATTTTCCCGTTTTTAGGCACGAAAGTTCAAATATTTTTAGCTTAAATTAGTTGTAACTTATTTAAAAAAAAATTAATGTAAAAAATAGTCAGAGGCACAAAAGCAGTTGATAAAAGTTTGTTTTTTCATACGAGTTATTGCGCAAATAACAATTATGCATAAAAAATGCAAAATTAAAAATTGTCCGTCGGAAACGACTAAGCGACTATATTCCGCCAACTATAAATTGAAAATCGCCTTCTTAGAGGAAGATATGTATAAAACCCCCACACCTCCTATTCTGTAGAATCACCTCTGTCTACAGTATGAATAGTATAGAAATACATTTATAACGAATTTGATTTAAAATAACTTTAAAAGTATGATGTCACTTAATAAATTTACAATTATAAAGTAAATTATATTTTTTACCTAATATTCAACTTTTTTTCCTTTCTAATTTTTATATTACAGCCAGATAAAGAATCATTTGTTATTAATCAACACCCAGGGATTTTCACGTCTGGTGAAAATTATGCAGGACCACTTCCAAAAAGTCATAGCCTGCTAGCTTGGTTAACATGCTTGTTTTGCTGCTGGCCAATTTCGATTGTTTCTATAATTAAATCTAATGAGGTTTATTTTTTATTTTTGTAAGAAGAAAGAACAGAGTTTCAAATTCAAATTGTTTTCTCTTGTAAACCAATTTAAAAAAATTGAATTACATTATATATGTTTCTTTTCTGCTTTAAAAGTATAAGTTTGTATTTTAGGTTACCCACGCTCTTGGTAGAGGTGATATATTAAGAGCTCGCATTGCATCAGAATCTGCAAAAAAGTTTGGTTATGCTTCCTTGGGGTGCGGTATCTTTGTGCAATTAACAATTTTTATTGTCGCAATAATTTTGTTTACAGTAGTTTTACCTACTATGGGTTATCGAATCAGTATATTTTAGATTAAAAAAATTAAAACCAGAATTATATGTAACTTTTTTATACAAACCGAAAAATAATTTTGTGTGTGATTGAAATGAATATAATCTCATTGTTAAGAACTAACTTAAAATATATTTTATTTTATCAAAATCAAAACAGGGTGAAAATTTCAAATAAACATCAGCAATTAAGGTTTTTTGTTACATAGTTGACATCTTCGATAAGCAAATAACCTTATGAAAAATATTTTTTTCAACTTATAAGACTTAATTAAATCCTAAAACCTATTTAAACCTGACTTCAGAGGTGGCGCTAAAACTGTGAACTTTTTGGAGTTGTTGCTACTGACAAAAACTGAATGAATTTAAACTGAACGCTAACTGGGTGGAATTAATTGTCTTTAGTTTGGTTATTTCTTTGATACCACACCGAAAGTGAAATTTAAAAGTTTTATGATAATGTGTTTGATCATGGGACAATTTCTTTTATTAATAAATCTACAAGAACAACTGTGACATCAGCTACTTTGATAGAAAGTAGTATAACAACTGATATTTGAAATAAACATCTCAGAAAAGATATAGTTAAAAGTGATATCTGATCACTTTATTTTCTTTTTATTAATTTACATTACCTCAATAAATATATTCCAACAGAAAGTAAGGTTTAGAAAACGTTTTTTTACGTCATTGAGTTTAAAATCATCACAAAAACAATTATCTCTGCTTCATTGGAAACAAGTAAAATCTTTTGCAGACAGTAATTTTATATATCGTAATTTATAACTACCTTACTACAAATAACCAATACAGATTCAAAACAACTCAACAGAACACGCAATTCTTCAAATGACTTGCAGTATAGCTGAGTCTTTTAAAAAATTTCAAATTTGCGTTGGGAATTTTCATCGATATAAAAATTGAATTTTATTGAATTAAATGATTTTAATGTTACTTAAAGGTTATTTAAGTAAGCGAAAACAGTTTGTTTATAGTAATGAAACTGATTCATTTAATTTAATAAATATAATATGTGGAGTTCCCCAGCAATCGGACTCGGACTCCTTTCTTTCTCTATTAACACAAATGCATTCATGATATACTAATTCAAGCTTTGAATTTAGTTTCCTCTAATTAAAGAAGCTTTAAAAATAATAATTTTGCTTTTTTGTGAGATATTTTTATATTTTTAAACGTTTAATATTTTGCATCATCATTTATGTATACGTGAATATCAAATTATTATTTTTTTAATTTACGAGAGGTTATCAATGTCAATACCTGTCATAATAATGTCCTGATTTTATTGTTTAACTATTTACTAAAATGTGTAAAACAAAATAATGAATAAATAAAAACAAATTATGTTTTTTATTTACTTTTTTTAGTTTTTATTCATATGAATTACTCTGACATATATCTCTGATATACGGCAACGTTAGAATTATCTGATTGTGCCCCCACTAATTAAAAAAAAATTTAGTTATAGCTTGAATTATGTACATCAAAATTTTTACATAAAAGATAACATTATCTTTTAAGATTTAAATGAATTCCTAAATGGCATCTCCTTGATCAAACCTGTTTTATTTAATACCATGGCACCTGTCGCTAACTTTGTTGCTGCCCTTATTAAGCCTTTTACAATAGCTGACATACATAACTTTTTTAGTAAACCAAAAGAAGGCTTCACCGCAAAATTTATTTAATTCAACAGTAGTTCGGGCGACTGGAGAGGGAGAAAGGATATCATGGTTCCCCAATCTTTTTCCAAATTTCTTTTCAGGTTAAGTATTGTGATGAAATTAAGTTTATACTAAGTTCAACAAGTATTCAGTCAAAATAACCAGAAATTAATAACTTCTAATGTCCAATCAAAAACAATCTAAGTAGGAAGATTAGATCAAAAATTTTCATTGCAAATGTTAAAAGAGTGAAAAGTGTCAAGACATATAATGAATATATATAAAAAGGCGTTTAATCCTTGAGTGGTTTATACTTTCCAAAATTGAAAAGTGGAGATAAGTAAAGTTCATACCAACCCAGCTCGTACTTACATAGGACCAACGTATGTAAAACCATCGCGAACGTCGGCTCTTCTTTCCGATGCAAAACCAACGTTGATTCAATGTCATTTGGTTTATGATAAAATTATTGCCGATGGAACTAAAAACATCTGGGAAATTTACATTGATCCAATGTATGTAAAAACATTGCAAAAAGTTGATTGTTTTTACGATCTAAACCCAATGTTGATCCAATGTATATATTTCGACGTTGATTCAATGTATATAAATCAACGTTTTTCCAATGTATGTAAAAATATTAAAAAAATTTGATTGTTTTTATGAACTAAACTCAACGTTGACCCGATGTATGCGACCAAACATTGCTATTGTGAAATTATATAATTTAAATAAAATCTTCCGTGATTATTAAAATATCAAACCACAATCAACACGAACAAGATTTTTTTTAAAATGATCAAGCGTCGATTGCGACACTTAATCTAAATTATTATACATCAAATATTCAATATAGGTTGGAAAAAAACACATACTGAAACTTTTTAGTCCCTGTGTTTGTAGTCCCTATTTCAACTTATTGCACAACCTAACATCGGGTGCAATCCTGTCTGCTTTCTCTATGCTATGACTTCTTTTGTCTTTCACTCTAACATATCTTCGTTCTTCCTAAACTCACTTTACTTTTGGTCCGTAGAGCGGATTATGACGCTCCTTGGTGAGCCGAACTTGTCTTTGCGGGCCTTGGTAATGTGGCCTCTATATGGCAATTAGCTAAAGGAGGATATACCACAATACCAATTTACAATTTTAGGTAAAGAACTAAATTTCGAATAATACTGAATATAACGTTTTGCCGAATAAAGTTTTCAACGTTAAATTAACGTAAAACACATCGTAAAATACAACTTAAAATACAACGTTGGGCCAACGAATAAAATAAAATGTTGAATCAACGTAGAAAGTATTACTATTTCCCGACTTAAAATATACGTTTTATCAACATTGGTTTTTAGTTGTTGGCGATGTCGCTTTTGTAACCATAACGATGTAAAAATAACGTTGGCAGCCGATGTTGGGCCAACGAAACGCGCGACATTGTTCTAATGTTTTAACAACGTTTATTTGCTAGCTGGGTAGTTCACAAAATTTTATTATAATGAGAAGTAATAAAAAACTTTTTCCGTAATTTTTTATTTTTTTTAATTTTTTTTAATTATAAAATTGAAGGATCGTTAATTTTTTAAGAAAAAAATTTATTAAATAATATTCTTTTCATTCAGGCACGACTGCGTATAATATTTCTATTAGCACTCTCAAAAATATAAAGGGAATTTAAAAGACCAGAAAAAAAAAGATTTTTTATACTTCCAAACTTTGAAAGTATAAAATATCTTTTTTTAGTATGCTAAAATGGTATCCTAATGACTTATTTTGGTTTTTTTTATCTAATTTTGGTTAATTACCTAATTTAATTTATTACCTAAAGACTTATTTTGTTATCCTAATGATTATAAAACTCCTTGGACCACAGAGTTTTACAGTCATTAGGATACCATTTGTCGACAAGCCTCCTCCCCCGATTCCTTTTAACAACGTTTAAGAAATGATTGATGATCAAATTATCCAATGGAGACTGGAGACAAGTTGAACTTAAATATTTACTAGACTTTATCAAATGCTTGAAAAATCTTGCACGTCAAGACTTCTACTGCTTCTTGATAGTAATGACAATCTAACTCAGGTTTTACATCTTCTTAGAAAAAAAGCCAAGAATATACTGAGACAATTTCCGGGCGCAAATACACCCATCATAATATCCAGAACAAATTGTTGCCATGACATTTAATGTTTCGAGAGTTAAAGTTTCAACTTTTTTGTAAACGAAAATTCTTTTTCATTTTTGCTGATGAAGGAAGTTTCTTCATCATCTATGATGAAAATATTGAGCAGAACATTGAGCAGTTATTATTTAGCATACGGTCTGTTGATAGCATTGTCTTAAAAGAGTTTATAGGATTTTACAAAACTGCTAATATCAAAAATGAAAACATTGTAACTGCAATAAGAAAATTCTGTAAAGGTGTCACTTAAATTTAGACAACTGCTGTGGTCAGACGTATGATGACACCAGCAATATAATGGGGAAGCGGTCAGGCACCTCAACATGCATATTATTTATATATTGACCAAAACAAGAAAAAATATTAGAAAACTTCAACAAGAATATAAAACGAGAGTTTGAGGTAAACTCAAAACCGGCTCTGACCAGATAAGCGTCATTGGTAACGAAGGAGGCGTGAACTTCCTTGTTAAATTATCACCAATGGCGCACTGTGATTAGACCGTTCAGATATAGCAGGGGCCCCTGAACCCCTGCTATGTCTAAAGGTTCTGATCTTTTCTATATAGAGAGGCCTAGGACGTTTTTACATAGCAGGGGCCCGAGGGGAATACCCCCGAACCTCCTCGTCAGTGACCCTGCCAAGCGACAAATGGGACGGTTATTTTACTAATAGTGTATCAATAAGATATTAATTTTACAGTCATCGATTCAGTCATCAGTCATGTGTTTTATTTGTATCTTAATCTTTAGCTTTAAATCAAGATACACAAATAAAACACACAAAAATACAAATTAATAATAACTAATTATCGTAAATATGCATCAATTTTTATTTTCCTATATTAATTATGTTTCTGGAATGCATTCACTTTTTGGATTTCCGGATAATAATCCTGACGTATTTTAACAGCAGGAAGTAAGGGAGAGCGGGACTAGTTGCAACAGAGGTAAGTTGCAGCAATGCGTTTTAAAGAATGGTTTTTATATATTTTTCCAAACTTTTGTTACGTTATTTATCTATAATTATAACAGGTCAGCAATAAAAAATAAAACTTTTACGCGCTTTTCGATTATTTCTAAAGTAATGGACGTTTTTTCTAAAGTAATGGACGTTTTTTCTAAAGTAATGGACGTTTTTTTAACGAAAAAATTAGTTTTAGAAAACAAAAATCTGCTAATGCTTCTACATTAATAATAAAAAAACAAACATATAAGACATCTAATTGTTGAATTGAAATGTTATCAATTCTTTAG